CTATAGACCAGACTATAGACTAGACTATAGACTAGACTATAGACTAGACTATAGACTAGACTATAGACTAGACTATAGACTACACTATAGACTAGACTAAACTTAAAGAAAATTGTTGGTATAATGAAATCTAAAATTGAACATAATTAATTAATTTGAAAAATTTCGCTTTAATAATATGTTTAATAAGTTTTAATATACATAAAATTTAGTGAATTTGGTTTTTTAATTAATTAATTTTTTAATGCAAATTATTTATTTTTCAAAATTTGTTAGAAATAGTAAGTATAATGTTTTTATAAATATATTGAATTTTAATTACAGATACGGTCTCAAACTTGCAAACAAATGTTGTTTCGATTACGATGTTCCAAAATCTGTACTAAGAGAAGTAGGAACAATGGCTTCTTATAATCAAAGTGCAGAAGACTGGCTCTTTGTTTTTGATAATATGTAATTATAAATCGTAAAATTATTATACATGAATTGAAAGGCGTTTTACATTACAATACTTTTTTATAATATCATTTTTTTTCTTTTCTTTAATATAATATTCATTGTCTTTAATACAATATCCAATTTATTGTCAAAATTAAACAATTTTCATTCATGTACTATGAAATTTTTTTTGGATTTCAAAAGGGATATGTGTAAAATTATAAGGAAAATCCAAAAAGACTACAAACTAATTCTGTATTTTGTAAATTGATAATACATTTCAATACAATACATTTTAAATTAAAAAATATTTTAAGATTTCAGATTGCAATACATATTTTTAATAATACATTGTATTAATACAAAATCCTCTGATGTAAAAAGACCATTAAATAACAAAACAATATAATAATTTAATGTTTTTATGCTATTTATTTGACGGAAATCTAGTGTTTTTGGAAAAATTAAATTTGGCGATTTCTGGCGATTTTTTTAGTCTGATTTGACGGAATATTGTGAAAAAAATTTGGCAACACTGACTAGAACATATAAAGACAATCCCTAAAGAGAGCAAATTAGGTGAAAAGGCTTCATGAACAGAAGACATAGTAATTGTTTTAAAATAGTTATTTGATCGTTATAAAATAACGCTGGGTTATTTCTATTTATTTATACTTTAGCATATAGTGATAGATAACATGCTACAAAATAATTGAAAATGTAAACAAATATGAGTAGAAAATATAAATAAAATAAAAATTATAAAGCTCAAATTTTATTAGAATTGCTAATATTAACATAAGCAGAAATACGAAGGAATTAAATCTCTAACGAACTGTTAAAAATAACACAGAGTTTTACTAAAATAAATTTAGAACAGACATCAAGAGAGTAACCAATGATCACTTCGACATCAATACTTCTGTGTGCCTAAGTATGTCTGAAAGCAAGAAAGCACTTTCCCTATTTTTCATTTAGATCCTTGAAATGAATCTCTCGGCATATTTTCTTTTATATTGATAAATTTTCTTTCAAAATAGTTTAAACTTTTCACAAGAATAAATTCTTTTAACACCTTATTCGGTACAAAAACTTATAGAAAATCTCTTCTAGATCCCATATATTCTCCTACATCCTCTTTTGCTCTTTTCCAACAAAAAATAAGCAAAACCTAACAAGTTGCAACATGCACCAACACAAAGCCATGTTAATAAATCTACTCATTATATTTGTTGCTAATAAATATTCTTACAACAAAATAAACAAAAACACTCTCAATTATCTCAATTTTTGTACTCATTAATTTTAAACTGTGCTTTTCTCACAGTGTTTGCACAAGTATTGGTAAAAATTTGTCTGTTTTTGTCGGATGATAAAGTGCATTTTTGAGCGTGTATGAAAAAAAGTAAGTATCTCATTGTTGCTGTTGCCACTGCTACATTTTGCTGTTTGCTGCACCAGCAGCATTGCTTGAGTACAATGACCACAAAATGTTTATATTGTTTTTAAGTTTATATACTTGGTGTTGTTGTAGTTGTTGCTTTTTTTTTTGTTGTATATCTGTTGTATAGTATATTAAAAATTTGACCCAGAAAAATTGACTAAAGTGCAAAATATGAACGAAAAAAACGCACTCACTCATTCGCATATTTTGTTGAGAAAGAAAACTGATACAGAAAATATATAAATAAAATAAAACAGATGGAAGCCGAAACAAAATTGTACAAAAAAAAAAAAAAAAAAAATCAACAACATGAAATACTACCAAAAAATTAACCTATTGGGGACGAGGTATGGGTAGAGAAGGGTATACCTAAAAATCTTTAAAAACAATAGGCAGAAAAAGAGACTCCAGATTATGATTCGGATTCGGTCTGGACTATAGAATAGTCTATAGTCTGGACTATAGAATAGTCTATAGTCTGGACTATAGAATAGTCTATAGTCTGGACTATAGAATAGTCTATAGTCTGGACTATAGAATAGTCTATAGTCTGGACTATAGAATAGTCTATAGTCTGGACTATAGAATAGTCTATAGTCTAGACAATAAAATAGTCTAGACTATGGAACAGTATATTGTCTGGACTATAGAGCAATCTATAGTCAGGACTATAGAACAGGCTATAGTCTGTACTATAGAACAGGCTATAGTCTGGACTATAGAACACCATACAGTCTGGGCTATAGAACACCATATAGTCTGGACTATAGAATAGTCTATAGTCTGGACTATAGAATAGTCTATAGTCTGGACTATAGAACAGTCTATAGTCTGGACTATAGACCATTCTATAGTCTGGACTATAGAATAGTATATAGTCTGGACTTTAAAACAGTCTATAGTCTGGACTATAGAATAGTCTATAGTCTGGACTATAGAATATTCTATAGTTTGGACTATACAATAGTCTATAGTCTGGACTATTGAATAGTCTATAGTCTGGACTATAGAATAGTCTATAGTCTGGACTATAGAATAGTCTATAGTCTGGACTATAGAATAGTCTATAGTCTGGACTGTAGAATAGTCTATAGGCTGGACTATAGAACACCATATAGTCTGGACTATAGAATAGACTATAGTCTGGACTATAGAATAGTCTATAGTCTAAACTATAAAACAGTGTATAGTCTGGACTATGGAACAGTATATAGTATGGACTATAAACCATTCTATAGTCTGGACTATAGAATAGTCTATAGTTTGGACTATTGAATAGTCTATAGTCTGGACTATAGAATAGCCTATAGTCTGGACTATAGAACAGGCTATAGTCTGAACTATAGAACAGGCCATAGTGGACTATAGAACAGGCTATAGTCTAGACTATAGAACAGTCTATAGTCTGGACTATAGAACAGTTGTAGTCTGGGCTATAGAACAGTCTATAGTCTGGGCTATAGAACAGTCTATAGTCTGGACAATAGAACATTCTATAGTCTGGACTATAGAACAGTCTATAGTCTGGTCTATAGAACAGTCTATAGTATGGTCTATAGAACAGTCTATAGTCTGGTCTATAGAACAGTCTATAATCTTGTCTATAGAACAGTCTACAGTCTGGACTATAGAACAGTCTATAGTCTGGACTATAGAACATTCTATGGTCTGGATTATAGAACAGTCTATAGTCTATACTATAGATTAGTCTATAGTCTGGATTATAGATTAGTCTATAGTCTGTAGTCTAGACTATAGAATAGTCGATTATCCGTACTAAAGAATGGCATATTTTCCTGACTATAGTCTATAATATACATTAAAGAATAATACATAGCCCAGACCATAGAATAGTCATAAAAACGGTTTAGTTTTGTGCGTCAATGGGTTAATAAAAAGGAGTTTCGTTTATGTATGTTAAAACCCAGAATTAAAGTTACGCATTTGTGTACGTTCACATACTTGCATTCATACGCAATGTGTTTTGGAGTCACCTACAGCAGATCAGGTAAGTATAATATGTTTAACTATAGTTTTGGCAAAACAGAGTTTCATCTCAGAAAAATCGTAGCAAAAATTTATGGAACAAACTCTGCAATAAATATATATCATTAATGCGACAGCAGTTTCCCATAAGATCTAGTTACCGGTCTAGCTCTTGGGGGAAAATAAAACTTTCATAATTAATAAGAGCTTGTAATTTAACGTCTGTTTAGAACAGAGATATATAAAGCTCTCTCATGGGTTCACATAGAAACTAGTTTTAGAAAGTAGTTACTACTTTAAGTATTCTGCCTTAGCTCCTTCAAAATTCTCTAGACACCACTCGAAAATTTTACTGCAGCTTATTGTCGAAATTTTGTTCTCCGATTTGTTTTTTTTTGTTGCAGTAAAAGGTGCTTAAATTGCTGCTATATATTTTATGGATTTTGTTTACATATGTATTTACAACCTTTAAGGTTTCATTACAAGCTAAACTGCAACTTATGTAAACAAAATTTAACGGTATTTTCAGTTATTTTTTGTTTTTGTATGGACTCAAAAGAATAACCTTAACTTAAATATGATGTTTCAGATACAAAAAAAAACTAAAAAGGAAAATATTGTAAAAAAAACTTATAAAAGAAAGTTTAATTAAAAATTTCAAGTTTAAAAGAAACCTGTTTCAAAATTGAGCAAAAGTATTTATAGATGACAACATCTAGAGATCTCTTTCGGAGGGAAATTGTGTATATATAACACTAAAGGTATAATATTGAAAATTTATGAGTTTTAAAGAAATCCTTAGCGTTTTGTATAAGTTATGGGAACAATTAACAGTTTAGCAACTCAATTAATTTACTTGTAAGATTAATGTAAAGTTAATTGTTTGACAGCTGTTTAAAAATCAATTAATATTCACAAACTATGAGATTTATATATATATATTTCTTAGAAATGGTCTTAATTACGGCACCTTAAATTGACTATATGAGTTTCAAATCGAAAATTTGTAATACTAAAGATTTCAGTATTTTGACTTTTTTTTTATAAAATCGCCGACCTTTTTATGAAAAAATATCTTATTAATTCTTAGGATTAATTTCGATTACTTTTTTTAAAAAAACACTTACCTTATAAAAAGAAAATCCAACGCTGCAAAAGGAATGCTCGCGTCATAACCTAGATGGCCTGCAATAAAAAAGGAAATATTTTAATATAAATTTTAAAATAAATTACTTAATACGTTTTATTAAAAATCTATACAAATTGATTATATTAACAATTTACATAATTGTAATTAACTTTGATCATTGAGAGTAAAAATCTCATTTGCAGATTATAATCATTACAGTTTTTTAAAAAACTTGTTAGAAAATTCAATAGAAGTTTCTATCCCGAATCTTCATGAAACAAATTGTAACTAACTAAGTAACTAACTACTAACTAACTAACTAACTAACTAACTAACTAACTAACTAACTAACTAACTAACTAACTACTAACTAACTAACTACTACTAACTAACTAACTAACTAACTAACTAACTAACTAACTAACTAACTAACTAACTAACTAACTAACTAACTAACTAACTAACTAACTACTAACTAACTAACTAACTAACTAACTAACTAACTAACTAACTAACTAACTAACTAACTAACTAACTAACTAACTAACTAACTAACTAACTAACTAACTAACTAACTAACTAACTAACTAACTAACTACTAACTAACTAACTAACTAACTAACTAACTAACTAACTAACTAACTAACTAACTAACTAACTAACTAACTAACTAACTAACTAACTAACTAACTACTAACTAACTAACTAACTAACTAACTAACTAACTAACTAACTAACTAACTAACTAACTAACTACTAACTAACTACTAACTAACTAACTAACTAACTAACTAACTAACTAACTAACTAACTAACTAACTAACTAACTAACTAACTAACTAACTAACTAACTAACTAACTAACTAACTAACTAACTAACTAACTAACTAACTAACTAACTAACTACTAACTAACTAACTAACTAACTAACTAACTAACTAACTAACTAACGAACTAACTAACTACTAACTAACTACTAACTAACTAACTAACTAACTAACTAATACTACTAACTACTAACTAACTAACTAACTAACTAACTAACTAACTAACTAACTAACGTAACTAACTAACTAACTAACTAACTAACTAACTAACTACTAACTAACTAACTAATTAACTACTAACTAACTAACAACTAACTAACTAACTAACTAACTAACTACTAACTAACTAACTACTAACTAACTAACTAACTAACTAACTAACTAACTAACTAACTAACTAACTAACTAACTAACTAACTAACTAACTAACTAACTACTAACTAACTAACTAACTAACTAACTAACTAACTAACTAACTAACTAACTAACTAACTAACTAACTAACTAACTAACTAACTAACTAACTAACTAACTAACTAACTAACTAACTAACTAACTACTAACTAACTAACTAACTAACTAACTAACTAACTAACTAACTAACTAACTAACTAACTAACTAACTAACTAACTAACTAACTAACTAACTACTAACTAACTAACTACTAACTAACTAACTAACTAACTAACTAACTAACTAACTAACTAACTAACTAACTAACTAACTAACTAACTAACTAACTAACTAACTAACTAACTAACTAACTAACTAACTAACTAACTACTAACTAACTAACTAAACTACTAACTAACTACTACTAACTAACTACTAACTAACTAACTACTAACTAACTAACTAACTAACTAACTAACTAACTACTAACTAACTAACTAACTAACTAACTAACTAACTAACTAACTACTAACTAACTAACTAACTAACTAACTAACTAACTAACTAACTACTAACTAACTAACTAACTAACTAACTAACTAACTAACTAACTAACTAACTAACTAACTAACTAACTAACTAACTACTAACTAACTAACTAACTAACTAAATACTAACTAACTAACTAACTAACTATTAACTAACTAACTGTTCAAATAATTTCAATTCCACGATATGAGTTCATCTCAACACATTCATATTCCTCCGCTCATGATGCCAACTGTCTCAAGGATATAACGCTAACGGATTTAATAGAATTTGTAACAAGTATCGGTTGGTTCCAAATCAGATATTATTTTAAGTATGGAAATTGCTAAGTGTATTACGAAGGGTTAAATGGTTTCTGAATATATCCTCCTAATAGCAAGATACTCATGTTATTCAGAAAAGTTTTCAATTTAAAATAGTTTTTAATAAATTATAAATTTATTATTCATTTATTTACAGAAAATTAACTTGTTCTAAAACAAAACGATGAGAAGGACGGACATACTGTCTTTTGAAAGCTGGCATAATGCTATAGAATTTTTAGTCCTTCAATTACGATTTAGCTAGGTCCAATGTCTAATTGTTCTTGGAAGATAATAAGCGGAGTGGAGTATGTAGAACGCATTTAAAATATTCTGAGTATGAACTTAGTTCACGATCGAAATCTGAACCAGTTACATACTTTATACACAAAATTTGATGGCTTTATTAGGGGTGTCACTTATTTTGAACACATTTCAAAGCAAATTTTATAGAGTTTAATGATTTAAATTTCCATTTGAAATTTGAGATATATAGAATCTTCAAAACTTTTTTCCAACTTACACTTTTTGAAACTAGGAAGTATTTTTATAACAATGGAATTTATTTTTTATATTTAATTTTTTTAATTAATTGATTTTTTATTGTATTTATTTTTTTCTAGAATCTAAAAATTCTTAGTTACATTAAACAAATTTTATGACAACTTTACAGGTTCAATAAAAACGAAATGACACAAGCACACCGCTAACTAAACAAGTCCGTTACTTTTTGAGCTGATGGGGGAAATAACGTTTTGTGTAAACACACGATTTGTAAACGACTAATTGTAAATTACAAACGCATTTCTAAAGTTTAAAAAGTCAAGAGCAAGTATTTAAAAAAAAAAAAAATAACAAAGTGTTTACACTAGACATAGGTAATGTATCAGATAAAATGGATTTATCAGTAAGATATATCGGTTTTAAGAAATTACTCAAGATTTTGGAAGGAAAGAAAAAAAGTGGTTGAGATAACAAATTAAGCAATTTTCTGACTAAGATAATAGCAGAAGTGATTAAATAACTTCTAAATTATATTCTGATTAGATATAGGAAAACTTTAGTTGCCCTAATCAAATTTTGTAAAAGCAACCAAAAACGCTTTTTAAACACTTTTAAATTTCTTAGTTTTTTTTTTTTTATAAAAATATTGTTGATATCTTGAAAAAACTAGCAATTTAATCAATAATCTTTAAATACAAAAATTGGTTGTAACAATATTTTAGTTGTCCCAAATAAAATTGGTTATGGCAACTAACATTTCTTTGTTTACCAATAAAATTTGTGACTTTTTGTTGAGAATTTAAACTTAAGCTAGTGTGCCTAACTTCTTGTAACATTTAGCAAAAAAGTAAAAGCAAATGCTACTAAAAAGGTGCGCGCGCTTGCGCAAAAAAAGCTCTCCCTCTATTTAGTGTTTTATTGTTTTTTCTTTTTTTCATCGTGTGCATATAAATTCTATTAAGATTTCTTATTAAGATCTTGCAAATAATAAATAAATACCGGAATTAATTAATTTTTATAAACATTTGTAATTGCTGGCAGTAAGTATGTATGTATGTAAGTGTAAAATATCAACAAAATAAGAACATAAAACAAGACTAGACAAAACTATGTACTAAGGCTACTGGTAGAAAACAAAGACAACAAGTTGTTTACAAGTTCTAACTATCCGAGAGAATTCTCTCTTTTTTTCACCCATAATTCTTTAATTTTGAAGGTTAAGCAAGAGTAAATCTATTCTATTCCATTCCAAATTGTTTGCATTTACTATGTTCTGAGAATTCTTAGCGGCCACCACCATCACAAACTGGAATTGAAATAGCGGTAGCTTATAGTGCAATAAACAAACTTAATAAATTGTTTTAAATGGCGCTTAACTTTATTTATCAGGTTTTAAAATGACTAGAACAAAATGTTAAACAACAACAATAACATAAAAAATTCTAAAGTTAAGTCCAAGGAGAATTTGAAATGGTCACAGAATTTATAAAAAAAAAATGTATGTACTTATGTATTTCTAAGTGTAAAGTGGTTTCAAGAGAACCACTTAAGATATTCTTTAAAAATAATTCTATTCTAAATTACACTCGTGGTTAAAAATTAGTAAAATTTGGGAAAATTTCGATAAACAATGCAATTTTGGCCAAGACTTTGGTGGCAATGAAGATTAACCAACTCTTATAATAAATTTAAATAGACCCATAAGAAACATACACGTTCGGTTCTTTATTCTCATTTGGGCTGGCTAAATATTCTCCGTTTTTAATCTCCCTAATAAACCGTCTCTATAACTGGTCGCTGTGTACATCCTGGATCAAAATCTGACCCATCTCTCAAAGAATTCACCCGATAGTCTTGAGACCACCATAAGATCAGCTATCGAAACTATATTCTAGTCGCTTGTGGGGTACCGTATAAATTGCGGATTCTTCTTTTTGCAAGAACTATCACTTCGAGTTTCACGCTAGAACAAACTTCCGGTTATCAGCAGAAGTAATGTTAACTTTGTCAGGAATGTTTTTCAACTCTTTGGATCCTTAAAGTTCAACGTCCTTAATATACTGTGATTGACTTATTCCCAACTATAATTCCCATTTTACCAATGTGGGTTTTTGCTTATTGGATGGAGCCTTTCTATGGCTCCGTAGGATCAGTCTCGCACCTAACGGCTTTAAGAATCATTTCTATAAGCGGTATGCTCTGTAGCGATGTTTTTGAAAGCGATAATGCTACTTTGCTTCCAAATATATCTGAGAACATGTACTTTCTCAGTAGCACGCAAATTACTGTAGCATGAGATAACTCGGGTTTACAGTATAATAGCATTTACAGAGGTGAACCAGAAGCTCTCGAAAGACAAGTGAGACATACACTGGTGTCAATGAGGACTAACCTAGTTCAGTCTAAGTTATGTGATTGATCAGTGCCGTTCCAGTACAGTTTCAGTTCTAGTTCAGTTCTAGTTCAGTTCTAGTTCAGTT